TGCTGTTCTCCATAGTGGCTGCACCAGTTCGCATTCCCACCAGCAGTGCAGGAGGCTCCCTTTCCTCCACACCCTCTCCAGCATTGATTTGGCAGCTTCTTAGAAAGTTAAACACACACTCATCATATGAACCGCTCCTAGGTATTTATCCCAGAGAAATGAAAACTTATTGGTTCAGCCACTCTGGGAGCCAGTATGGAGTTTCCTCAGAAAATTAAAGATACAGCTACCCTACAATCTAGCAATCCCGCTTCTGGGTATTTATCCAAAGGAAATGAAAACAGGTTACCAAAGAGACATATGCACCCCATGTTTATGGCAGCATTATTCACAAGAGCCAAGATACAGAAACAACCTAAGTGTTCGTCCATATCATGTAATACTACTCAGCAATGAAAAGGAACAAACAACACGTGCAACAACTTGCGTGAATGTCAAAGACATTATGCAGAAAGAAGCCAGTCTCAAAAAGTTACCTACTGTATGATTCTCTTTATTTGACGTTCTCAGAAATATAAAACTATAGGGATGAAGAACTGATCAGTGGTTGCTAGGATTAAGGGTAGGGGAGGGTGTGACAACAAAGATTTAGCACAAGGGAGTTTCGAGGGGTGGTAGAATTACTCTGGATCCTGATCATGACATTGGTTATAGAAATTTATACATGTTAATATCCATAGAACTGTACACCAAAATAAAAAATAGTCAATTTACTGTATGACAGTTTAAAAAAGAAAACATGATGTTAGAAATATGACGTATTAGAAATATGTCGTTTAGACGAAATCAACTTTATTTAATGGGAAAGCCAAACAAATCGCTTTGGACCTAGAACAGTTTTTTGTTCTGTGCTGAAAAATTATTTCATTCTGTGCCTAAAGGAATGCAGAATTAAGATGTCACAAGTTAGGGACTTTCCTGGTGGCACAGTGGTTAAGTATCCACCTGCCAATGCAGGGGACAGGGGTTTGAGCCCTGGTCTGGGAAGATCCCACATGCCGTGCAGCAACTAAGGCCATGTGCCACAACTACTGAGCCTGTGCTCTAGAGCCCGCAAGCCACAACTACTGAAGCCCATGAGCCACAACTACTGAAGCCTACGCGCCTAGAGCCCGTGCTCCGCAACGAGAAGCCACTGCAATGAGAAGCCTGCACACCACAATGAAGAGTAGCCCCCACCCACCGCAACTACAGAAAGCCCATGAGCAGCAGCGATGACCCAATGCAGCCAAAAATAAAAAATAAATTAAAAAAAAAAAAGATGTCACAAGTTTGGAAAGCTCATATCTCACTATGAGCTCTGTCATAAATGATAAATTTCTCTTATATGTTTTCCTGCCATTCAGTGTGTCAGTAGATATGGGGCTCTTGTCAAATTGCTTCCTACAGAGCCTCTCTTTCCCCATCTGAGATGGAAATCTCTCCTTGGATTTCCATCTACAGATGTCATGTCAAGGTTTGTGAAACATGTCTAAGTCATTGTGGGAAGTCACAGAACAAGGCTGACATGGGAGATAGTTCCTCATGCATCCTTTTTGTTAAGCATTCCAGATCGAAGTGAACTTCACCTCAGTTTTTTTTTTCTTTCTTCTTTCACACATACTCTAGAAACTCAACACGACTTCCCTTGATTTGGCGTAGCTGTCTAAAATGTGCTGTCTCCACCTGGTTGCTGTTTACGACGAGCTTGAAATAGCACCTGACAATTTTTCTTAACCTAAACCACATCGTGAAGCTTTGTTTCTTCCACGGCTTCAAACTAAGGGGGTGGCAGTAGGGATGGGACATTTATGGGACACCTAAAGAGGGGTCCTACACGGAGCTTGAAAACCTATTCAACGCAGGGGGGAGGGAGGTTAGGGAGGTGTAAAGGAGACAGAATCAGATGAGTTTGAGGTTTCCTTTTTCTGTGTGAGTGGCCAACAATGCTGTTATCTGGATTAGGTCACACAGGGAAAAAAACAGGCAGAGAATTATAAAAGATTTGAGAGGAAAGATACCTATCTATATTTTACCAGCTTATTTATTTTTAAAAGTTTGCACAGCTGCTTTAATCTCTAAATGTTGTGTTTGTTAAAGGAGTTCAAGTCTGTTCCAGAGGCAATGCGGTTTTTAACACAAAAGGAATGAATCCTTGGGGCAGTAGATTTGAAGTGAGCAAGGAGACATGACATTTAACAGAGAAAACCAAGTTGGACTTGAAGTCATGGAAAATTAAGAGTGCAAAGTTCTTCTGATGGTCCCTGAAATACAGGACAGGGAACACTTAGAACCTGTTGTCGGGTTCCCTATGGTAGGGAAGCTTTTTTTTTTTTTTAATTTATTGAAGTATAGTTAATTTACAAACTAACACAATGTTGTGTTGGTTTCAGGTGTATAGCAAAGCGATTCAGTTATACATACACATATATATGTTTTCCCTTATAGCTTATTACAGAATATTGAGTAGAGTTCCCTGTGCTCTACAGCAGGTCCATGTTGATTATCTATTTTAAATACAGTAGTGTGCATCTGTTAATCCCAGTAGGGAAGCTTTTAAAGAAGGAAGTCACGTCTCCTCATACATGGTGAATTTGGCGAAGTTGGTCCTCCTGGTGGCAAACTTCCAGGAAGCCAGACCCTTCCTGATCAGATGATGTGATTTCCTAAGGGACATAAAAATAGTCCTCTCCCCATGAAAAGGGTTAAGAATGGAAGCCAAGGACCCTCCCACACAATGGAGCGCAGCTGTCAATGTGGCCAACAGAAGTAGAACATGTGCAAAAGCAGTTCTGGGAGAATGTAGGACAAGGTAGCTGCAGAAGCAGCAGAGTGGGGAGAGCACAGGAGATGCAGTCGGGCGGAGGGCGGAAACGGTGCAAGAAGAGCAGCAGGTAATCAGGAAGTAGAGGAGAGGAAAGCAAGCGCAGGTGAGGGATTTTAGAAGGATATGCAGAGAGGGTAGCAAAGCCATATTAGACACAGACTCGAAGCAAACTGGGTGACCTTAAAGTCTGCCTATACATTTCCACAGAAAGATAAAAGGTGGGCAAGAAGCAACAGATAACAAAAGTACAAAGTGTTTGCCTTCACCCACGGATGAGCTTGTGAACAGACCACCACACTGCCGGGTGCAGAGGGTCCAGAGGCTCTCAGTGGGAGCCAGGATCCCCTCTGCCTGGCTACCCCAGGACAAATTCAACTTTTAGAAGGTAGTCCCAGGTCCTGGGCGTAACTTGCTGCCTTTTAGAGTTAAATATCATAAGCCGATGGAAAGAATTCATACTGTATGTATTCCTGAAATATAAAATATAGTCTACACCAGCAGGCTTTAGTTCAGGCAACACTATGGTCTCATAGGCTACTGCCTGATCTTCTAGGAGTTAAAAAAATCTAACAGCAGATATCTATAATCTGTCATGCTCTTTCTTTCTTACAACCCCATAAGGGAATACCAATTATTAAATATAGCAAACAATTTAAAGTTACTGGTATTCTTCAGATGATTTAATGACCTCTTGTCCCTGAAGTAAACCATCTGATAATCTGAACTTAATTTTTTGTTTTTAAAATTTATTTCATTGAAGTATAGTTTACAATGTTGTGTTAATTTCTTCTTACAGCAAATTGATTTAGTTTTACATATATATATATATTCTTTTCCATTATGGTTTATCCAGGATATTGGATGTAGTTCCCTGTGCTATACAGTAGGACCTTGTTGTTTATCCATCCTATATATAACAGTTTGCATCTGCTAATCCCAAACTCGCAATCCATCCCTCCCCCACCCTCCCTCCCCTTTGGCAACCACAAGTCTGTTCCCTATGTCTGTTGGTCTGCTTCTCTTTCATAGATAAGTTCATTTGTGTCATAATTAGATTCCACATATAAGTGGTATCATATGGTATTCGTCTTTCTCAGTCTGATTTACTTAACTTAGTTATGATATTCTGTAGATCCATCCATGTTGCTGTAAATGGCCTTATTTCATTATTTTCATGGCTGAGTAATATTCCGTTGTATGTATATATATATATATATATATATATATATATACCACATCTTCTTTATCCATTCCTCTCTTGATGGACATTTAGGTTGCTTCCATGTCTTGGCTATTGTGAATAATACTGCTGTGAACATAGGGGTCTTTTCAAATTACAGTTTTCTCTGGATATATGCCCAGGAGTGGGATTGCTGGGTCATATGGTAGTTCTATATTTAGTTTTTTAAAGAACCTCCATACTGTTCTCCATAGTGGCTGCACCAATTTACATTCCCACCAAGAGTGTAGGAGGGTTCCCTTTTCTCCACACCCTCTCCGGCATTTGTTGTTCATAGATTTTTTGATGATAGGCATTCTGACTGGCATGAGATGCTATCTCATTATAGTTTTTATTTGCATTTCTCTAATAATTAGCGATGAATCTGAACTTAATTATTAACAATTCATTTTCCGAATTCCCTGAACTTCAAATAAGGATGTCATTGTATTTATTTTGTCATGATAACCATTCATTGCTGACAGCTATACTCAAAACTCAGAAACCTAACTGCTAGTGTCTTCCTTTATCATCAGAGGCAACATGATGTACCAGATGAGAGACCAGAGCTGGTGCCCCTGCTGGTGCCACACTCTTTGCCAGCTGTGCGTCCGTAGGCAAATTACTTACCCCCTCCGTGACTTGATTTCCTCATCTGTAAAATGGGGATGGTGATAATAGTGCCTTCTTTATAGGTCTGTTGTGAGGGTTAAACAAGCCTAGAATAGGACCTCGGAGAGTACGTATTAATGAATACATAAGGCATTTAGAGCAATGAACAGTAAATAGCACCATATGCGTTAACCATATTTCTATTATTTTCTGATGCTCCTCACTGTAATTTTCAGTAGTTATATTAGGAGAGTGTGAAGTTTAAAAATATGCCCCAATCAGCCCATGATTCCCAAAAGCCTGCGAAATCATACAGCCACAATAACATTATATTTTTGGTTTTAATCCTTAGTTCATCTCAGTGTAATAAACCTATCCCTTTGTATCCGCCAGAGTTGAAAATATGTCCATGAGGTTGGAAGAAATCAACGAAAGAGAAAACTTTATGAAAACTTCCCTGCAGACTGTTGACCTTCGCCTTTCCCAACTGGAAGAACTATCTAGCAGAATGGTGAATGCGCTGGAAAACCTCGCAGGAATCGACAAGTCCGACCTGATACAGACCCGGTCCCGGGCTTCTTCTGAATGCGATGCAACATACCTTCTAAGGCAAAGCAGCATCAACAGTGCCGATGGCTACAGCATGTACAGGTATCTTTTCAACGGGGAGGAGTTGTATGAGGATACTTCCCGCTGCATGCCACCAGGGACAGGGTTCAGGAAAAAAGTTGGTTCCTTCCGTGTGAAGGAAGAGAAGGACCAAAGAACGCACCTGGTCCCAGAGCGTCAGGGCAGCCTTCGCCTGCCACCCAGCACAAGCACGCCAGCATCCCCAGACGGCGATCGACTTGCATCAGACAACGTGGAGGGCACCTCAGGGCCGAAATTAGGCCCAGATGTTGGGATTTCAGCTGAAGATGATGAAAGGCAGGCAGACTCTAAGAGAGGAGAAACGAGCTCCCCAGGTTTCAGTCAAACAGATGTTATGCACGGACAGAACAATTCGGATTTTCAAAGCACTCAGCTAACAGTGGAAACAACGAAGATAGAAGGCACCATTTCTTATCCCCTGGAAGAAACAAAAGTGACCCGTTATTACCCTGATGAGACGTTCAGTGCTTGTAAAGCAATGAAGTCCAGAAGCTTTGTATATTCCCGGGGAAGAAAGCTGGTCGGCGGGGTTAACAAGTGGAGTGCAGTTGGGGACCAAACATGCCCCTCCACGGTTGAGCAATGGACCACAGAGTGGAGGTATCAAGTTCAAAAGATTATGCGTTCTCAGAGCACGGATATCCCTTCCTTTGGGTCTGAAACGGCAGTGCAGGCTGAGCATCAAGGGCATTTCACAGACACCGAAGATGAAAACTGTGTTTCTGAAACAGGCCCTCAGATCTCCCGTTTGTCACTAGCTGTTACTGACAGAACTGACAAGGAAAACTCACTGTCTGTGAAAACACACCAAACTTTGGGATTCCCATCTTTAAGGTCAAAAAGTTTACACGGCCATCCTAGGAATGCTAAAGCCATTCAGGGCACCTTAGACAGATCTAGACATGCCAGCAGTGTAAGTAACTTAGCAGTTGTGTCCAGAATTACAACGGAAGACCTGAAAGTTAAGCGAGAGAAAAATTGCTCAGAAACTGAATGCTGAGTTTTGTTTCTTTGATTTTTCAGTCAGAACAACTGATGAGTCCCATCTTGGTCATCTAAACATCATCCATTTCTGAAATCATTTTCATTAAAAACGTTTGACAATTTGGACTTATTTAAAATTTAGAGTTTGATTTTAGTGCATTACAATTTAAAATGTAATGCACTAAACTTAATGTTTTGTTAGCACATGTTAGTAAACTTAGCTTTTTTAGTTGGAGTAGGATCAATGAAAGTGATAACGCTCCAGTCACGATAAATTCCTTCATCAGTATACAGGATCCTACGATCTCTTTATTTCTGGGGGCAACCGAATAGCCAAAGAAATGCCTTTGGGTGACACCAGTAGGTTACTTAAGGGAGTAAGCAACTATGTAAGAAAGGGAAATGAAAGACAAAGCAAACATGAAAAAAAAAAAAGGAGGGGTGGGGGAAAAGAACAATAAAACTATGAGGTGCAAGAAGTGAGAATTGGAAAGGGGAAGTAAACATCATATGTTCTTTATGGGTTTCTGTTTATTTTATGTTTTAATGCTTTATGTTTTAAAATTACACGATGGAAAAAAAAGGCCATGATTATATCAAAGGTCACACTGTAATAGGGTAGGGTGACCAAGAGTTTTGTTAATGTGTAAAAATAAAGTATCCCACATGAATTTTCCTGTTGTCATCTAGTCCTTGATGGCAAACACAAATTAATTGTACTTCTGTCTACACAATGGTTGGTGTAAAGCTGTGGCTAAAACCTAAAGGATACATATGTGTTCAAGGTGGGAATTCTCAAGAGCTACAAAGACGATTCATGGCTAAAAATACAAGGTGTGCTTCAACTTGTAAGTTCAAAGATACAGCATCGCCATAAACTGGCAAGGGGCAGGGGGAGGAGAGAGAGAGAGAGAGAGAGATTAATTCACAGCAGTTATGCCAAAGGTACTAATCAGAGACCACAGGAGACTTGAGAGTTTAATAGCCAGGTGAGAATCCCTGAACTGAGCTGGATTTGAGACTATTTAATCAATCCTGCTACCTGTGTTATTTGACCCAAGGATAAACCCATTCCATTTGACCTCATTCCTAAATCTCTGCTTTGGGTGCCAAGAAAACTTGCAGCCCTTTGCCACAACCTAAAAAAAGTTTTCTCAGAACAAGCTGGAGAACCTCTGACAGCTCAAGAGAGCAGGTCTGAAGAAGGCAAAGCTTTTGTTTGGAATTCTCCACCTGTCCGCTCATTACACAGGCCCCTTTTGTAGGTCACTCCCACCTTGCCTCAGGTGTGGGGCCTGAGTTTATTCCCAGAAGTCTCACTGAGTCTCCTGTAGAAGTGTTGGTTGAAAGGGATGTGTTTTTTTTTCTTAAGGTATTTATCTTACAGACCCAGAATGTGTACATTCTAATGGTGGAATTTCAGAACCTATGGCAGGGACTTTCCTTGCACACCCTGAATCATACAATATAGCTACTTATGTGCTCTACAAACTCTGTTCGACTCAAATATTAAGGGCCTATTATGCAGGGCACTAAGCCAGACTGCCTGTTATTATATTGCTATTATTCCAATATCATTCCAATGTTGCTAAATATGGAAAACTGAATATTAAGAACTAATATCCAATCTGATCAAATCTAGCAGTATCTAATACATTAAAATAGAAACACTGTACATGTTCAAAGCACTTAGCATAGACTGTTGGTGGGAATATAAAATGGCGCAGCCACTATGGAGAACAGTATGGAGATTCCTTCCTGGGCATATATCCAGAGAAAACCATAACTTGAAAAGATACATGCACCCCAGTGTTCATAACAGCACTATTTACAATAGCCAAGACATGGACGTAACCTAAATGTCCATCGATAGACGAATGGATAAAGAAGATGTGGTATAGTTATACAATGGAATATTAGCCATAAAAAAGAATGAAATAATGCCATTTTCAGCAACATGGATAGACCTAGAGATTATCATACTAAGTGAAATAAGTCAGGCAGAGAAAGACAAATACCATATGATATCACTTATATGTAGAATCTAAAAAAATGATACAAATGAACTTATTTACAAAACAGAAATAGACTCACAGACATTGAAAACAAACTTATGGAAGCCAAAGGGGCTGGAGGGATAAATTTGGGATTAAGAGATACACACTATTATATATAAAATAGATAAACAAGGACTTACTGTATAGCACAGGGGACTATACTTAATATCTTGTAATAACCTATAATGGAAAAGAATCTGAAAAAAATAGATGTATATATGTATAACCGAATCACTTTGCTGTTCATCTGAAACATTGTAAGCCAACTATACTTCAACAGAAAAATAAAAATTCTTAAAAAATCATTTCACATAGAACTGTCTTAGTAAATTAGAATTATATTTCTGTTCTATGTAAAACCTAATAAGAAACATAATGAGGGCTTTTATTCTTATATCCCATAAACTCTGTCACACTCATAAATGAGTTAAGATGTGATATTTGATATAAAGTTTAAAAACTCATTTTTAAATTTCTATCAAGGGGAATTAAGAATTGAACTATCAAAAGACCTCATTATAAGTGACTCTCTCCTTTGAGACTGTATGATTGCCTACTTTCTGTACATACAACTGCATCACCACGAGGCTTCTACAGGTTTCCATAATTTAGGTTTCAAAATTTAAAAATTAAACTGTTAATGTTGTCATATAGTTATTCCATATCAAAAATGCATTTTACTGGATATAAATTGGAAATAAAGAGAAATGAAATTATTGTCTTACTATCTCCTACATTAAAAAGCAATTTTAAAGATAATTTTTATTATAAAAGATACAGAAAATCACACAAAACAAATATATGTCTTAATTATTGTCAGATGGACATCCTTTATAACCACTACCCGTTTTCATAGAATTTGCCAGCCACCCCAGAAGTTCCAAAAGTTCCTGTGTCAACCACCTTCCTCCCCACAAAAATAACCACTCTCCTTTTATAGTAACCACTTCCTTGCTGTAAAACAATGACTCCAAAACTGGGTGGCTTGAAACACCTATTTTATTATGCTCATGGATCCTGTGGGTCCGGAATTCAGACAAGGCATAGCAGGAATGTCCCTGATTTGTAGTGTCTGCTGATTTCCAGGGTGTAACTATTCCTACCCTGGCCAACATCAAGCTACTCGTGTGATGTCACTGAATGTGGATTTGGGGAAAAATGCTAACAACTTGCTGCTGTGAGCCAGTACAAACTGGCTACAGCACATCAGTGTCTCTGCTCCACAGTGTTTGAGCTGGGAAGACTCAGTGTCTGGAGGCTGGAATCATCCAGAAGCACCTTCCCTCACAGGTCTGGGAGTTGATCCTGGCTGTCAGCAGGGATCTAAATCTCAGCTAGAGTCCATCCACCAGAGCACCTGTGCATCGCCTTTCCGTGTGCCCTGGGCTTCCTCACAGTATGGCAGCCTCATAGGAATCAGTTCAGGGTTCCAAAAGTGAATGTCTCAGTGAGCAAGACAGAAATATTGTTTTTTATGAGCTCACTTCCACTGCATTCTCTTGGTCACAGGTGAGTCAGTAAGGCCAGCCCAGACTCAAGGAAGTGGGTCATATTTGGGAGGCGTGTTGAAGATTTTGCAGACATGCTTTAAAATCCCCACACTTGCATTTCATTATAGCTTTATCACCTGAATGTTCCTTAGCATTAGAGTTAAGCATCCCTCTTTTTTGTTTTTTAATTTGCTGATACCCCTTCTATCGGTTTCTCCTTCTTATAGTTCATCTGTTGAAGAACGTGGGTCATTTGACTTGCAAAGTTTCCCACAGCCTAAATTTTACTGGTTGAACAGTCATATGCAGTTAGCTGTGTTCCACTCTGCCTGCAAGTTGGCAGGAGCATTCAGAGGCTTGTTCAGGCTTAGGTTCGATCCTGATGGCAAGGCTACTTGGGTGTTGTTGCTTCTTTCATCATGAGGCACATCTATGTCTACTTGCCTCTCTTTTTGTGATGTCAGTAGCTATTCATACTCAATATCTGGATCCCTTCATTCATAGGAGGTTGAAAATTTTAATACTCGAATCCTATTATTTCTTTTTCTTTTATTATTTAGAATACTTTATAAAGAGATGATTCCTTTCACCTACTATTTGATTACGCAGTGGTATAGTTCATACTGTACAGCAGGGATAATGATTGACTTTTCCCATTCATTTGCCAGTTTTCAAGATAATGGATTGGCTTTTATCATCTTCCAAAGGTGACTGATAGATTTTTAAATATATGTGTATACATATATATACACACCATTATGATCGCATGAATTGAAACATGTGATATGTTTCAATCCATTGCAATTATTATCCTTTTACATTTTCTTTCCTTGAGTACCTTAAATATGTTACTCCATTTTCTTTTTTTTTTTTTCTGCCCACACCGCACAGCCTGTGGGATCTTAGCTCCCCAACTAGGGATTGAACCCGGGCCCCTGGCAGTGAGAGCGCCGAGCCCTTACCACTGGACCGCCAGGGAATTCCTGTTACTCCATTTTCTTCTGACATAAAGGACTGTTTCCAAAAGGTCTGATGATAATCTAATTTTTTTTCACCTAGAAGTCATTTGTTCTTTTTGTCTAGATACCCAAAGAAATTTTCATTATTTTTTCTTTCAATTCCAATAGTTTTACAAGAATATGTCTTAGTGTTGGTAATTCTGGATTGACGTTCTCACCTGCAGTGTGTTCTCTCAATGCATAGTTTCAAAGCTCTTTTTTTTTTTAATTTCAAGGAAGTTCTCTTGAATATAGTTTGCAGTATCTCTTCTGTCTCCTTATCTCCTCCCCTGCTTTTTCCACAAAGGCTCTTATTGTTTCTTCAAGGGCTGGATCTCCTTTGCTTATCCTCAATATTTGCCACTTTCTCACTAATCTTTTTTAATCTCTATTGATTTTTGAAAATTTTTTCTCCTTTTCATCTTCTGCTTCTCTTAAGGCATAACAAATTGTGTTTATTCACCCTTGGGTTTCTTTTGGTTTAGTCTTCATTTCTGAAATAATTCTTTCTCTTATTTCTAATTCTCTTCTGAATTTGTTCATTTAATTCCAAATATTCCTAATTCTGATTTACATAATTCATTCACGTCTCCTATCATTTTCTTTGTGTCTTTTAGCTCTTTGAAATGCTGGGCGTTGGTTCTGATCTGCATTGAGGGCATGTTTTTCTGATGTGCTTTTACTGTCTACAGGAGTGCTATTCAGTTCTTCTCTTTTTCATTACAATAGTTTTCTATAGGATTTGACTTCCATACTTTCCCTTGGTTATTTTTATGTGAGATTGGTTTTCTCAAACCTTTTGAAGGAGGCAGTTGTCAGGATAGTTTTTCTAACTTTGCAGAGAACCTTTTATTTTTCGGCTGCGCCATGCGGCATGCAGGATCTTAGTACCCCAACCAGGGATCGAACCTGTGCCCCCTACATTGGGAGCTTGGAGTCTTAACCACTGGACCAGCAGGGAAGTCTCAAGAGAACCTTTTTTATTTTTACAGTCTAGCATTAAAATTTTGTAAAGTCAGCTTACTTTCAGAGATTTCCTGATCCTCTGTCTTTACCTGGACCCTCTCTTTCCTTTGTCTCTCCTTGGCTCAATTTTGCTCCCATGCCAAGCAGTTTGTCTTCAGTGTGGGTCCCTTTCCTTGAAGGAAGCCATGGTAGGTCAGTTTCAAGAGTTCCTACAGCAATATTTTTGCACCCCTCAGACCTCACCAGGAGCCCTTGCACTCTCAAACACCACTTTCTACTTCACCTGCTCTTCTCAACTTGACTGGGTGGGCCAGTAAATACCTTCTGGCTATTTGGGGATTCTTCAGATGCCTCATTGATTCCCTTTGCTGATATAACAAAGGTCTTGTAAGTACTATGGTTTGCTCCTACTTGCCTATATTTTGGAAATCATAGGGATACCATTCCATTTAGATTTGTGGTTAATGTTGTCCATGGGCCTCTGGTTTTGCTTTATAGTTCCTTTCTCTATTTTCATGGGGAGACTGAATAATTATGCTGCTGTTGTCATCTTCCCAGAATTCCCCCTCAAGAAACAGATTTTTTTAATGACTTAATAGTCATCTTCCAGGACCATATACTCAGGCAATGGTATAGTTTTGTAGACATGATACTTAACCACTGTACACTACCTTTCCCACTGCTACCACCATCACCTTCTTTTATCTGGACTCTTCTGATAGCCCCCAACTAGTCTTTTTACTGAAAGTAGGGTCTGGCTGCTCATTGCTCTAAAGCTAATAAGGGGGCAAGTTGGTGGAAAGTTTGCTTGATTTCAGAGGCCAGCAACCAGGGGCTGAGGGAGAGGGCAGACTCCTGTTCAAAGGCCGACCACTCCCCCCCCCCACTGTGGGGGTGAGAGCTATAAAAGCCGAAGGAGGGGACTACATGTAGAAACAGCACAGGCAGCTCTGACAGTCATCTTGAAATTGGTTATGGGGTGGTCTGGTCAGCGTCATCTTGATGGCTTTCAGTACAGTTAATCTTTAGTTCCAGGGTTGGTTTGTTCCCATTTCTCTGGGGGCAGCTCTCAGAATTGTGGCAGCTTATGTCATGGCTACAGCCTGGTCATCATGTAGTTAACTTCTTCCACCTGGTGTGGGTTTCAGTAGCTATAAGACAGCTCACAGGATATGGCTCAGAATATTATCCATAGCCCTTGAGGAGGAACTAAAGGTCTTTGACTTTGCTTAATGACTAAACTATTACTATTTTGTCCTGTTTGATTGTTTTCCTTTGCTTCTCCATTTTCTCACTTCTCTGATAGAATTTATTCTTTGACTGAAGTTTTCCTGCAGACAAAAGGTGGGCTGAAGGCATGGAGTGCATAGACCATAGTAGGGTCCTGCTCCATTTCAGTCTCACTGCTTCTACCATGCTGTACCTCTACAGCAGGGGGAGTGATTATTTTTAAATGTCAGATCACATCATTCTCAGCTCAAAATGTTGCAGAAGCTTCTCAATTTTCAGGCCCTATGTGGTCTGGCTTCTTTTTCTCTGACCTCTTCTTCCAGTAGATTAGGCTGCTCTGAACACACCAGGCAGGTTCGCACCTCAGGGCATTTGCACGGCTAACCCCTCTTCCTCCTGATCTCCGCCTGGCTTGCTCCCTCACCTCCTTCCGTCTCTGCTCAAACGTCATCTTATCAGAAAGGCCTTCCCTGACCACACCCCATCCCCCATCGAAAAACAAAACCCTCATCTCCTTCCCATTTGTTTTTCCTCATGGCACTTGTTATATATTAATTTTTTATATCCTTCCACCCGGAGTGAAAGTGCCAGGAAAGTAGAAACTTTGTCTTCTTAGTGACCCAAGTCGTTTTTAGCACAGGGTTAGCAATCAATACAAATTTGGTAACTGACTTAATGAATATATTAATTACCTAGCACCTAATAGATATTCAAGAAATGTTAGCTCTTTTTTTCCTCTTCACGGGGAAAAGGAAATGATCTGTACAGAATGCCACTATCCCCCGTGATAGAAGAACCAATACTGGAAACAGAGTCAGAAAAATAGGGGACAAAATACTGACATCAGAACCAAAGAAGGAGACAGTCAGCTATTTCAAATGTACAGAGTATCAAGGATATCAGGACTAGTGCTAGGAACTGCATTTATTCTCCCAAAATTCAAACGTTGAAGCCCTGACCCCCAATGTGACTGTATTTGGAGGTAGGGCTTTTAGGAGGTAATTAATTAAATGAGGTCATAAGTGGTGGGGTCCTAATCCAACAGGATTAATGCCTCTATAAGAAGAAACACCAGGGTGTGCTCTCTCTAATACCCTGCACCCGTCCACCACCAACCCTCCTCCCTCAGCTCTCTCCACTGTCTGCGAGCCAGGCAGAGAGCTCCCACCAGAATTCCATCTTGCCTATACTTGACCTTGGACTTCCCAGCCTCCAGAACTGTGAGAAATAAATTTCCGTTATTTATGCCACCTAGTTTGTGGTATTTTCTAATGGCAACCCAAGCAGACTGATACAATTACATATCTGAAAAGGCCCTAAAATTCAGGGTAAGTCAGGACAAATCTGGAAATCAGAGTTTTTCCACTTTTCGACTGTATGGTCACTTATTAGAGTTGTAGATCCTAAGAAAACCTGTATGGCAAAAGCCAAATTATAGTAAGTCGTTTCAGTATAAAGATCCACATATTCCTTGAAGAGTATTTGTGGAAAAAAATTTTTTGTCTAGTTTTATTGCGATGTAATTGATGTACGTCACTGTATAAATACAGCTTAAGGTGTACAGTCTAATGGTTTGACTTGCATATATTGTGGAATGATTACCGCAATAAGTTTAGTGGGCATTCATCATCTCATGCAAATACAATAAAAAGAGAAAGAAAGAAAAAACCGCTTAGGATTTACTCTCTTAACTTTCCTATAAAACAGACAGCAGTGTTAATCATATTTATCATGTTGTACATTATATCCCTAGTACTTATCGCCTAACTGGAAATTTGCACCTTTTGACCACCTTCCTCCAATTCCCCTTCCTCCCATGCCCTGCCTCTGGTAACCACAAATCTGATCTTTTTCTATGAGTTTTTTTTTTTTAATCCATTTAATGTAGAGAAAACACGGACTATTCATAAAAAGGTGTTAAATGTATGTGCACAACACTATCTTTAGCATCTATAACTCAATGGGCTTAACATTTTAAAGTATGATTGTGGTTTCCGGTCAAAATGGAATCATATGGCACTCAAGTTAACCAGAACGATCAGTGGGGTTCTGGATCCAGGATAAATTATTTTCCAAAAAAACGTACCTTTTGAATCTTTGTTTAAATCCTTTAGTGTTTCCATTAGCAACACTTGTCAGTATGACTGTGATTCATATGGCCACATTGGAGCTTCCCTGTGACATTAATTATAATATGCTGGATTAGGGATTTATTCTTCAAAGCATAAGAAAAATCTAGTCTCAACTAATAGATTTACCAAAATGAAACATCACTAGCCCCCTTACCAAAGGCTGCTCCAGTTGGGAAACATGCTAAAGAGTTCAGAAATGCCCTGCGCTTGATATGCTGAAATTCGCCGGTTCTTTGCAATTAACGGGCAGATTATTCGGTCCATAGCCTATTCGGTCCACACCACTAAGGCCTGACTCTTGCTGGGCTTTTGATCATTTATCTGCTCACTGGTATTTTTACACGTGAGGATAGGCACGAAAAGAAAGGAAGGTAATTTGCTTAATATCTTTTTCCACATTAAAGTTTAATAAAGAGGGTAGAAGTTAAAGTAAATGGAGGAGTCCGGGTTGCCTGGCAACGTCCTCCGTCAATAGCCTCAGCATCCCGTGGAATTCAGCAGCAGGACACCCCAGTCTCAAAGCTTTCCGCACAGACAACCGTGTGATGGGAGAAAAATCTCCCCCAGTGTCGACCTTGAAGGCACCGCGCTGACCGCCTGATCCCAGTCACTGCCGGCTGCCCCGGGCCGCCTTCCCGGTGCCCGTCCCTCACACGCTGGCCGTAGACAGCGTGACCGGCTGAGCCCAGGGTTCCAGGGTCCCCTTCCCCCGCCCCGGGCTCCTCCCGAAGAAGGAAAACGACACTAGTCGCGCGAGCTGGAGGACTAGCGAGCAGCGTCAAGGGGTTTGTCCCGGGGACAGGGGGACGGCGGGGCAGCCGGCACGGAAGCTTGAGCGAAAGCCGGGGCCGCCTCCCGCGACCCCTATGACCCCCGCCGGCCGCCGTAATTCCCTGCTGGCCGCTGTGACCCCCCCCCCCCTCGGGCCGCCTCCCGCGGCTCCTCTGACCCCCGCGGGCCGCCGTACGTCCCCGCGGACCGCTGTGGACCCTGCCGGCCGCCATAGCAGTGCTCCCACCCCACCCGCCCGAACCGGCCTTTCAAGATGGCTCCCGCGCCCCGCTCCCCCCCGGCGCTCTCGCTGAGGGCCGGGCAGCGGCGCCAGGCGCCAGCCTCGCGTTCCGACTCCCGCGCGGCCTAGAGGCCGGCAGCGGCCGGCCGCCGGCCTGCGCGCTCCGTCTCTCGGGGCGGGGCGGCACGCCGGGCCCCTTCCGGGGATGGGCCCGGGCTCCTCCCCGCTCGGGCGGGCGCTCAGCCGTGTCCACGCCCGTCAGCCCGCCCGGCCCGGCTGGCCGCAGACCGAGCCCGGGCGGCCGCACGGGGAACTCTCAGCCAGCGGGCGTCGGGAGGCGGATCCCGGGCCCCGACCGGGACGGGCCGAGCCGAGCAGGCGGCGGCACCATGTTCTCGCTCAAGCCGCCCAGACCCACGTTCAGGTCCTACCTCCTGCCGCCGCCCCAGGTAAACAGCCGTCTCCCCGCGGCGCCCTCTCCTCGCGTTTCCGGGGAGCCGAGCGCGGGCAGGCCCAGGAGACTGCCCCGTCCCCCGGACCCCGGCGCGGGGAATCCGCCTTCCCGGGAACCCCGCCGGCTCGGTGGAAACTTGCAAAACTCCGCCGCAGCCGTTCTCGGCTCCGAGACGGGACTCCAGGGAGCGATCGGAGTTGGAATTTATTTAGCCCTTCGCCTGGCGACGGTCTCCGTCGTGACCGCCGGCAGGATCGCATCGCCTGTGGGCGCTTAGTGGAAGGGGTTACTTACCTGTCGTAAATGTGAACACCTGGAAGCGGCACTGGCGGTTGTAGTATTTTTATGGCCAGACTCTCAATTCCATCACGAGCAGATCCTTACAAGAGTTCGGTAAAAATGTGTAAGAATTTAAGTGGGGGGAATACGTGTCTGTCGCCTGTGTCATCACCTGGAAAATAAAATTTGCTTTTATCAGGCGGGAAAAAAGTTTTGATTTTGATTTGTTTTTCTAATGTATTTCAGACTGACGATAATATTAATTCAGAACCGAAGATTAAAAAACTGGAGCCTGTTCTTTTGCCAGGTAAACATGAGTGTTCTAACAGATACTTTAGTAATGTGTTTTGGCCTAAGATTATTCCACCAGCTAGTACCATGTGGTTAACTTTCCTCATTTACTTTAAACTTTAGCCACTTAAAAATCTAACGACTGAGGATGGAAAAAAAAGGATTGGTTAGAACTAAAGGACAGCAACAAAAAGTAATGATTAATTGGTGTTTGTCCTTGAAAACTTAAGCATCGTAGAAAACTGTCAAGAATACCACTACCTTATTTCCTTTTCGTCTCCTGAAATGTTCTTTTTTAAAGCGATCATGAATTGCTTAGGTGGTGAAAGGACTTTTTGCCCTTCTTGTCCATCTGCAATTTCGTGCATTCATGGTTAATAATCAGATCACATTTCAATAGTATAAAAAGCGACTTTTATTATGTCTGGGTCTCTATACCAATAACAAAGCTTAGTGAACTTTGAATTACTTACTTGGCAATTGTTTTTTGAAGGTGTCAGCTGTGTTTGCAAATCTTGTTTCAATTTAGAATAGGGCTTCCCAACAGAGACACTATAGACGTTTTGGGCCTGATAATTCTTTGTTGTAGGGTTGTCCTGTGCATTGCAGGATGTTTAGCAGCATCCCTGGCCTCTACCCGCTAGATGCCAGGAGCACCACCTCCTCTACCTCCTACTTGTGGGAACCAGAATGTCTCCAGACATTGCCAAACCCTTTTGTTAGGGGGTGGGGGGAACCCTAGGGGCAAAATTTTCCCCCTGTGGAGAAGCACTGGTTTAGAACAAAATTGACGTTAGAAGACCTTAGAGGTAGAGGTAGGAATTGATGGTAAATCGGAGATTAGTTTTAAAGCGTATAATGCATTTATTTGATTGGTATTTTGAGTTGTATAATAATTATACAACAGCTAGGAAGTCAGTTGTTTAATCTGATTATTAGGGAAAGTAGCCAGGAAAGCCTGTTTTAAACATGAAATATAATCAAATACCAGTTTGTGTGACTAATATCAATATTTTAAAATCTCAGTTGTTACTTAATGCTAAATCTGATAAAATGATTAGAACTCTATAGGTAGTAATTGAACAAATAGGGTAACTTAAAATTTTGTGCTTTAAAATTTTAAATATTAAGTAGGAACAAACATTTAAAACATAAACCTATGGTTCCCTATTATAGATGTTAACTCTTAAAATTGTTTTAAACTTTATTTGGGGAGTTAGTTATAACTATTTTCCCTTTATTTTGTTAATGCTTTTTAGCCAAACAGTATGTACTAAATAATCCTTTGTACTTGTCCTGGAAGTGAACAATAGAATTAATAAGTAACCTTTGCTCCCTGTGTGTGCTCTGTTTTGGTCTTAGTCACTCCAGGCATTTAAACAACCCAGCGGCAAACAGTGCTCTTCCTGAATGAATGCCTGTGAGCTATTGAACTTTGGGTCCTTTTACCCTGAACAGGCCCTGTTCTTTTTGATTCCCCCCTTCTGATATTTGATTTGATTTGACACTAATAAACCACATGGTCTTAGCTACAAATGATAGTGCTTGATTTTCTTTAGTTAACTTCTATATTTAAGCTTTGCTTGTGAAATTGTTACAAATATCAGTAAGCTCAAAGAACTTACATTGAGGGATTATCTTTTCTATAGAATTAACTAAAAACTTACCTTTCTGTTAAAAAGTCAGCATTTTCTGGGGAAGTTGTAAACCCATTTCCTGACTGTCAGTGGTTTACTTGTCTTAGAAATCATAGCTAAGTCTGGATCCCCTGACCCGTGGTAGCTTTTCTTCATTGGCTCTGTGTGTGCATACGTGATGGCTTTGGCCCCCAGCATTCTGTTTGCACCTAACCTATTCCTCACAGAACATTTAGTCAATGCTAAATTAGTGTGTCTTTGCCCTCCTTCCCCACCCCTTCTGTTCTTAACTTCCCATCCTGGTCTTCCCATGCTCTTCCCGTTCTTTCTGTCCGACCCCCCCGTCATGGTCTCTGTGCCCTGCTTCACCTCTAACCTCACCAACTCCCGCCAGAACCTCTGTTGCTCCCTTTTCAGCCTGTGAAATCTGGAAAACAAGTGGAGAGTAACTGAAGCATTGGTGATCTATAAGACCTGGACTGCACTAGGGCTTTGCCTAAGAGGGCTTCATAATATAGTTCTGGCCTTCATTATAGTCAGAAACCAAGAGAAAACTTGGCCAAGTCACCTGCGGCTTTGCACAGACACGCGAAACAAGGAAGTAATTGTTCAGAGGTATAGTGTTGGATGTTATGCTTTGGCAAAATGCCTTGGGTTCAAGGATATCCTACTTCAGTTGCCCAAAGTTTGAACTTTTAATTCAATAAGCAGATGAAAATTGAAACACAAAATCAATTGTTTATTTGCAGTTACCAAGTGCTCTGTTGAACTTAGCGAGGCTGAATTTAAAATGATCTTCAGCTTTTATTAAACAAAGAAAACAGAAGAAATTGACTAGGAATTTAATTTAGATTGTGGTTTATGTTAGTAATATTCAGCTTGCCTGGTTCATGAAACTCCTTGAGATGGAGATTGTATCTAATTCAGTTTTGTGGTACCCAGTGTCCAGCATAGTGCATCGAGATGTTGGTTGAGTGAATGACAGTGAAAGGACCCCTCAGACCACCTGCTTAAATTGTTCCCGTAGCCATGCGTGCGTGCGCACATACACAGACAAACAGACCAACTCTCAGGTTTAGGAGGAAGGGGAAGACTCTTACTTTATGCCATGTGTCTTGCTCTCTCCCAAAGCCACACTTCTCAAGAAAATTGTACCTGAGCCTAGAACTGAAATACAGCGCTCTGTCAAAGCACCTGGCCTTTGCCTAGGCTTTCTCTTCATCTTCCCGTCATTACCTGAATCTCATTCTTTGACGTTTGTGTTGTGTGTGTAAAATCACCCCAGTCCTTTTGAAAAGAGGGAGAGTATGAATTCTAAACTGTGTGTGCGTGTGTTCCAGCATATGTTTGTGAGAACAGGTGTTGCCACACTAGCTTGTGTCTGCTTGGGTAGCTGCTGGGCTGGTGGGTCCGTTCACTGAGTCTGTGAGCACCTCCTGGGTTCCTGGCTTCATGCTAGCTGGGAAGGTGCTGGAGGAGGAGTGGGCTTGAATTGCAGCAGGGCTGGGGCAAGCTCCATGCTGCCTGTGGACAAGGCAGAAGACTGTGACCTGGACCAGTGGTTCCCAGATTCTAGTCATGGCCTGGCTGACATCAGATCTGGATGAAGTTTTTATCAGCCCTTGGTCAAATTGAGAAAATTAAGAAAAATGCAGGTTTTTTCCATAAAGCTAAATTGATTTGCTTTAAATTCTGAGATTATGTCCTTCCAGCTTCTTTGGTGTAGATATGTTCTTCTATTAGTAGCTGTGACTTTAAAAAAGTTTTTAAGTTAGCTCTTGTGTAGGTTCCCTGAATTATTTTTGTAGTATACCTGTTTTGTGGAATCTGAACTGGAAATCACTCCATGAAATTATTGTAATATTATAGGTACAATTTAATGAACACTCACACAGAGAACATCAGTTGTTTTATCTGCCTGGAGTCTTTCCACCATCTTCTGAGAAATGCACCCTCTCTCTTCTGACAAATTCTCCTTCCCCATCTCCACCCAGCCCGGGGTTCTCGTGTGGCCAGCAAAGATGATAACCCACCCCCAGACTGCTAGCGTGAGCACAGGTTTGCCTCTGGATGTTTTCAGATTGGTACTGAGGAAAGAGATCCTTTTCCATAGCGCCATCCGTGGCTGAAGCACCAGCAGACTTGTCCAAAAGAATGACGTCACGTGTTGAGAGCGGCA